AAACCTGACCTAAGTATACCCTTAACCCTCTTGCTGCCGAGTTTATTTCTAGCTTTGTCGCACCAAAAGTATCTTCACGTTTCATATTTGTGACGTTGCAAAACGTGTGCCTCTCTGTAGAACAGCGCTTTCCCGCGTCAATTTAGCCGTAATTAGGAAAAAGGGTGTAAAAGTAATTTTATAAAAAATATTGCCCCAAGAATGTTATAAACGATGTTTTTAATACAACATTATTTAAAAACACAACTTTTAACCTTGAAATATAGTTTTTTTTTATATTTCTTATCTTTAAAAAAAGAAGATAATATACTCATTGCTAATAATTTTACAAGCGCTTTTGTTTTATCTTTGTAAAGTGAAATGCATAACTGATTCTTAACCACCTCTAAAATATTGGAATATGTTTATCCTTGTTATCTGATTAGCTTACTAATAGTAAACCTTGTTATGATTGATAAAAATGTAAAGAATCTCTCAAATAATTATACAAACAAAACAACGGCACCCAATAAAAATAAAAATAAAAACAATACATGTACAAATAGAAATAGATAAAACTCCGAGCAGCCGATTCTATGACCTACTTCGTCTTGTAAAGTATTATATAATGTCAGATTAAATTTTCATTCTAAACCTTGTTTCGGTATGCGAGGAAAGAATGTTTATCCATATATATTCCTTTTGTTTATTTCTTGATCATGTTTTTTATTATTTTGTTGACCACTTACCACTTATTGCACAAAATTTTAGGGAAATGTTTGAAATATGAATTTTAAAAACAGAAAAAACGAGGGAACATTTTGCGTGAAAAGGAACAACTACATAATTAGTAAAAACGTTAAATAAGTTGGTAATATAGTACTAACAAACTTATGATCCTGTATCATGGACCATTGACGTTCTACACAATAACAAATTTTGTGTGTAGAAGCCATAAATGTCCCTTTGGCAGCAAGAGGGTTAAGGACATACGATACAGGGGACGTAAAATGTTTTTTTTCGCGACGTCAAACTGTGACATATCGGGAAAAGATACATTTTTCGACTGATTTTTATCATTCAAACTGATTTAACTTAAAAAAACGAGTTCATGGAACCCTCTTTTTTTTTAAAATGACATTAGGTTTGATTACGTATGAAGATTATTTGTACCAATTTTTATGAAAAAGTCACCGATGAAATTTTTTTCAATTAGATAAAATATACAGCAAAAAATGCCGTTTTTTCTAAAATCAAGAAACTTTGATTAAAAATTGATTATTTCCAAAGAAAAATTTAGAGCATACTTATATAAAGAAATTTTTATAAATGATTTTACAAAAATCCGCTTGAATTTATCTTTTGAAACAAAAAAGTTGGGTATGTCTATCCAAACTTAAGGATAGAAATGTTCAACAATCCGAAATTTTGAGTAAATGTCTAAAATTTCGAACCCATTTATACCTTAACCGTTAGAGTGCCACGGATTTTTTGGGTAAAAAACCGATGAGTGCCATGGGATAGGCCCTAGATTTTTTAAAATTTCAACGAAAAACGTCATAAAAGAAGCGTAACAATGCATAACGTCATGCAATTGTTTTTGTCTGGAAGCAATACTGTTTCGACGTCCGGCGTATGTCAGGTACGTCAATGGACAATCAGTTTCTCTTTAACTAATAAGTTTTGTGTGATATTTTGGTATCTTTCGCATCTTTTTTTATATCAAAGTTTCTGGTCCTTTTTGCGATATTTATATGATTGTATTATATTCATTCATACTCACTATTTCCGGATATCTTATTTAATATATATATGGGAAAGTACAACAGCTACATATATCTTTTTTTGATATCATCATGCAGTTATTTGAACTGTAGTTTCAGTCAAAATTTAAATCAAATCCGTGATCTCTACCATTTACGTACCTATTACCTTAATTGGAGTATATGGTCAAATTTAATAGTGAAAAAAGAAGTAAATTAATCTATTTTGTAGTTGTTTGTTGCAGTCTATAATATTTGTTTTTCGTTAATTATTTTGTTACAGTACATTAATCAGGTCGTTGACTTCATTGTTTAACATTTTGTTATGTTGGTTTCTTTACAGCTTACAATACGGTATGGGTTTACGCACTGTTAAAGACCGTACAGTGACCTACAGTTGCTCACATTTACGCCAATTGGACTTAGATGGATAGTTGTCCTCTTGGCAATCATACCACTTCTTTCTAACTTTACATCGATTTTTCCAAGCAAAAAAAGGAGTCCAAGATGAAATAATTTTTCTTCTAATAAGCCCCATATTTGTACATTTTTTAAATATCAACACTGATTTAAAAGGCAAGGCTCTGCAGTCAATGTGTAGCGATTCCCATTCAACATTGAGAAAACATGTTTTTAACATTTTTTAAAAGTTTGACATAATACGAAAGGGACAATAGAAAAGCAATGCTTAGTCTCGCCCTACGCAATTTCTGTTAAGAAAAAAATTAATGTTTGATTATCAAATTGGGTGTAATATTTGTGTAGTGAGGAACAAAGCCAAACAATTTGTGACTGTGTTTGTTTGCCCCTTGATGTCTTTTCATTTTTGAATCGTTTGTTTGTGCTGTCTAATGGACGTACAGTACAGTCCTATTCAATATATTTTTTTTCGTATAAAACAACACCGTTTTGAAGATAATAAATATATATCCATATATATACAAATCTAAATTGAAAACAACGTGCCAACCTATGATTGCGTTGGATAGAAACCGCAATTTTTATACGTGTGTATGCAAAACAAATTTCTTGGTAAAGGGGTCTAAATACAGCACAAACAATTATATTAATATTAGAAACACTTCTCATTGCTGATATTTTAACAAATATATCTCCTCTTGTATTGATTATGCAATCCCTTTTGACAGCGAACACATTCAGTTCTAGCTCTATGCATAATCCCATTTTTCCGGTCAGAGCAAACAAGCAGTCCTTTTGTTTACCGCGCTTAATCTTCCTGATACCTGACTGTGAGATCAACGGATTACTTTTCTTTTGGAGATGTTCAAGTGCTAAACTGTCAATAACGCTTTGAATGAACTGAAGTCTTGACAAAGGTGGGCGTTCATCAGTGTTCTTATAATATGAAATTAAGAATTGAATAAAATGAGATGAAATATATTAATAAGAACTTTTTTCCAAACTCGGCAACTCTTTTTTTTTTGTCGTTGTATTTCACAATCATTTTATCTGCCAAATCAACACCTCCCATGAAAGTGTTGTATGCACACAGAACTTTTGGTTTACCTGTATTTGCAAGTGCATTATAATAGCACATGAAGGTATATTTTTTTATTACATATTATTAATTGAATTGACTAGTAGGTGAAAAACAGCTTGTATGCAAATTTTCGTAAAAACATCGCCGTTGGATCAAATTAAAACTCTATCGTCTGCCCCTAAAAATGGAATTTAGAATTAAATTATAAGGAATATTTTTTCTGTCTATTCGAAATAACATATAAAATGTGGTGCACACTTTTAAATAACCCGCGTTGTGTGCACCACATTTTCGATGTTATTTCTTCATAAACAATGGCGTAACAACACAACATAAACACAAACTGTAAACATCACTTGGAAAGGAAATGATTCATAAGATCGGAAGCTCTAACACTAAAATAACAAAAAGACAAAGATTCAAATTACCGAGTACTCAGTTTCTGAAAACTAGTTCAAAGCCAATTTTAACTGATAAATAAACCAGTCTTAATAAATAATGAAAAACAAATCGAACTATTAGTTTACCTCACAATAAGTATATCCGCTATCAATCCATGCTAAAGTTTAAATTGCTCTGAAAGCCTGACGAATTTTCAGAGTTAAAATATAAATATAAACGAAAGTGGGGTATATGCCAATAAGACAGCAACACAGCGACATAACATACAGAGGGCAACATACAGTCTTCAACAATCGCCAAATATCTATACAACATGCCGAGCCTTTAATCCGAGCTGAGTAGGTATTTAAAAAAATGAATTTCTCTTTAAAGTCATATGAAACAAGTTTCTGGTGATTATAATGTTAATGAAATTAATGAACCAATGCATGGTTTTTTTAACATTTATTACGAATTCATAATGTATAATCGACAAAAAATATTTCATTCGATGATTGTTGATGGAAAATATTGACTGCTTATTAACTTTTTTTGAATTTTTGGTGACGAAGTTTATCGATCGTTACCTTTATAACAATCAACAGATAATGATGAAGCACGTGAAAAATGAGTGAAAACATAAATGTATGTTCATTTTTTTTTTTATATATATATTTCCCATTTGTAAATCACGTTCTTTTAAAAAAAAAGAACTAAATGGTTCATCATTTAATATACTTTATGCTGCTTTTTGCACAAAATGATAATCCGAAATTTCAAATCTTTTCCATTTAATAAAGTAAAAGGGGTGCGTACATTGTAGTTGGCCTGCTGTGAGGCAAATCGTTCTCCCATATTAACATATGACATAATTTTCATGTGGCAGTCTAAACTTAAACGCCTTCATCCAAGTGGACCTATAGTATTGATTTTTTCGATATTTTGCTTTTGTTTGATTATACACGAAATATTCGCCGTTCCATGTCAAACAAACAACAACTAATCAATTCAATTTAATTTACCCTTGTTAAATCACCCTACTAAAATAGCCATTATGTAAGGAGTCCCAAGTCAGGAACCTGCAGTTCAGTGGTTGTCGTTTGTTGCTGCATTTCATATTTGTTTCCCGATTTTTGTTTTGTACATGAATCAGGCCGTTAGTTTTCTCTATTGAATTGTTTTACCTTTTACTTTATCATTTCGGTGCCTTGTACAGCTAACTATGCGATATGGGTTTTGTTCATTGTTGAATGCCGTACAGTGACCTGAAGTGAATACATGTACTTCTACGTCATTTGGTCTCTGAGCAATAGTTGTCTCAATGGCAAGCATACCACATCTTCTTATTTTTATATATGGAAAAAAGAAAAAGTCAATTTTCATTCAATTTTCTTTTTTTATCGTTATTTCATCGTCAGACAAGCACACATTTTTACGGTACCAGTCGTTATATTTTTTACCAGTCCATGTCAAGTTTCTTGTTTTATATGTATTCATTAATTCACATAAATCACACATTGCTCTCCAATAATTCCTTTCATTGTCTATATGATATTTATCAGCTTCTTTAAGATATGATATATATTCATTTTCATTTGATGCTATGTTTAATAAATATTCGGCTAAATGTTTAGAACTATTGAAATCAGTAACATCTATATAAGTTTTTGGAGGTAAAACTGACTTTACATTCGGTGCTGTTCTGGCTACATATACTGCATTACTATTGTCTAGGAAAGTGTGGAAAACTTTCTCAGTTACATAATCTTTGCATAAACTATTTTCAAATCCTAGATAAAACTTATACTTCTGAGACAAAGCTTCGTGACAGCCTGGCATAGTTTCTGCGGGACAAGGGGCTTTACCACATCTTCCATAAATATCAACCTCGATATATTTTTCCAATTCTGTGACGTACTCGCCACGTTTTGACGCTGACCCGCAATTGCTTACCGCCCACGCAACTAATTTCGTTTTGTTTTTATAAATCTCGTGGTAATTTTTATCCAAGGGATGCGTTCTCCTAAAGGTTTTATAATTCAATAGGATTTCACTGTCCCGTCTGTAAGTCATGCTCCAATCAAATTTGTTATCCCACACATGACTTAAATCTGAATCCGAAGCAGGGCTTTCAATATTGACAATCACCCAAATTTGACCATTCTTTTTTACGGGAACGTTGCTCCACATATCCCGATAGGCAAATAAAACTGCCTGGCTGGTATTAAGCACTTTCTTGTCTTCAGTCAAGATACAGTTTGAATATTTACAATCTGTGAAATTAAAACTTCCGCTAAAATAGGGTTGCTTTGCATACCACAGAATAAGTATTTTTGGCGCAGTTTTGTTTTGGATAGCAGTTAATGCAGATCGCTCACGCATGTTACTTAATTCCGCAAGGAATGATCGGATATAGAATGTTGTTCGAGGTCCAGGACTGAAAATCGTGATTATTTGCAGTAGTTCTAGCAACACTGCACCGACAAAAATGATGAAACAGAAAATAAAAAAATTCTTCTTCATATGAATACCTGCAAAATAAAAACAAACTATTCATTTAAAATAATTTCATTACATAGTTGTTTCATGAGACTCCTTAATTTGTATCGCCAGAAAATATCTAAATAGTGATTTAAATTCATCATCATTCTTTCCCAGAATATAAAGTTGATAATGTTTAAAAGGCTTAATGACTTTATTGGTTGTTCTTGGCTTTGAACTAGCTTCAGTAACTACAATAATCTTAAATCGATACATTATGCGTTAGTTGTTTTTGTGCTTCGTGTCGATTTGATGAGTGAAGCCATTTCTGACTGATTTTTACGTTTTGTTCTTATGTTGTGCTTTTACACCATTGTCCCTGGTTAACGACGGTGGTGAGCACTCACCTATATGTGTGTGCCTGTCCCAACTCGGAGGTCTGAACTTCAGTTGTTGTCGTTGCTTGCAGTCTGTATAATTTTTTTTTATTATTGTTTTGTCATAAATCAGGCCATTAATATTTTTGCAATCGTTTCATATTTTGTCATGTTTGGCCTTTTATAGCTGGCTATATTGTATGGGTTTTGCTCATTGTTGAAATCCGAACGGTGATCTCTTCATTTGGACTATGTTGGGTATTTGTCTTATTGGCAGTCACATCAACATCTCATTGTTTTATATTAATAAAACCAGTCTCTCAAATTTCTATCCAATATATGCCATCTCTTAACGATTGTATACTTTATATTCATCGCGTGGTTGGCTTGAACTCTACAGGGGCAGTTCCAGGTGAGGGCGTAATGGGTGTACGCACCCCTCCTTTAAAAAAAAAAAAAAAAAAAAAAAAAAAAAACTATCGTAATCTGCTTATATTGTTACATTAGTGCATTTCACAATTATTTTATGTTTTTTAGCAAAAAAAGGTCCAAAAACATTTTTCCAAATGCAGTCATTGTTTAATCTTGGATACAATTTTACAGAATTGTTAACGTCGCGGACAAGGGTTTTTAAGGTTAGTGGTCATAACGCTGCAATTATACAATACATATATAAGTTGACTTTGCAAATTTCACGAAATTAAATGCAAAATAAAACGTAATAGACATACCTTTATTGGAATGTGTGTGCTTTCAACTACACACTACTCTCATTCACACAATTATATGTTTTATTTATTTATAACTTTGAATTAAAAGGACACATTTTAACAGGAAACATTTAAGAATCCCCAAGTACATCATGGTGTTTTATTTCCCGGTATGTGAATGACATATATATAATACTAAGTGAAGTTTAGCTTTTCTACTAATGGAGGATTTAAATGTCATAATATCTGGTATAATTGTGTTCATTCGTCAAAACAATTAAGTGATGTTGAACTTACTGAAGACACCGAACATTCATGGAGGAGGCATGTTTGCTTTTTAAATACACTTGTGAAAACAAATAAAAAAAAAATAATGTTTGTTTCTGTTGCTGTTTATAAATGATTTGCATTTCACAAAAGTATCCTTTGTGCTTATACGTGCATGACAATAAAGATAATTTATTATTTTTAGTCCGGTATATGATGCTTGTTTGTTGTTTTATCAAGGCGTTTTTCGGCACAGCGGTTTTCTTTCAACAACTTTGTTATTCTTAACCAAATATAATCAGGTTTATGAAACAACAAACATTAAGAAAAACACCCCATTCTAAGGGTAGTCACGGCTTCTGAAATCTGGTTCAAAACCAAATACAACTAAATTAATAACTAAATCATGTTCTCCCAGACTTAAGGATGTACTTAGGTCAGGTTTTGGATTTTTTGTCAGATGTTCGGAGTCCTTGGTTTTTTTCCTACGATAGAGGGTAAACAATTTTGCCCCATAACACCCATTTTTCTTTTCATATAAGACTTCAATAGCTCATAAAAGGACATTTACCAAAATTTAAGCTTATTCTAGATTTCTTTTCTTTCGTTCTTATGACTTCTAGTATCAATTTTAAATTCTAGACTTTTTTTAATCTCACCTAAGTACATCCTTGAGTTCAATAAGTTTCCAATAAATTTAATGGGAAGATGTCATAAACAGTCTGATAAATGCCAAAATATAAGAACATTGTATCGACAGGATGAAGGACCATATTCTTTTATAACTGTATAGCAATACATACTTACTGTGCGGTATGGGCTTTGCTCATTGTTGAAGGCCGCACGGTGACCTATAGTGGTTAATTTCTGTGTCATTTGGTCTCTTGTGGAGAGTTGTTGCATTGGCAATCATACCACATCTTCTTTTTTATATTTACTAGCAACCGTTATGTTTTAATTTATAAAAAAACAAAATAAATCTAGTATCTATAAAACAATATTCAAAGATTGCACTACGGGGTATTTGGATCGTATCTACATTGACGGCTCTATATACGACATCCCCGTTAAAATAAGGATGTGATGTCCCGTTTGTAATAAGAATTCTACAGTTTAAGCCAAACTTCAAAACCTCAAAACCAAATATTTGTATCTACTACTAAACAATTTAATAAAGGTTTTAAGTAATTTGTGGAAACGAAATCCCCGAATTATTAATTTGCCAGTTATACATATATAACGTTCATTGAAATCTAAAAAGTCACTACCGACACGTACATAGCGAACGCATTAGGAAATATACACACCGTAAGGAAGGTCCAAAAGGAATAGCAACGTCCAAAAAAGGAAAATTAACAGTAGGGAACGACAAATCGAATGGTTTGTCATAAATTTTTGTATAGAGTTTCCAGTGTGAAAAGTTGACTATCACAAACACATTCCTTATTTAAATAGATAACTCAATTGACCACGTTCTACCACTTTATTTTATAGGGGGCATTTCCAACCCACCCACTAAAAAAAGAATAATAGAAAATGTTTAAGATTATGTTTAATATATAATTTTTTAAATTGAATTCACAAAGAGAACATGAAATTTACCTCTAACATTTTCAGGTGCCTTAGTAAAAAAATGTTAGAAAGACCTACAGATTGACTGATTGTTGTTGCTTGCTTAATGTCCAGTGGCAAATATGTCATATATATACTTGTCGAGAATATATTAACAACTAAAACCATATGCAGGTTCTGTATGGTAGCTCGGGATGGAGGGAGGAATTTTCGGAACTATACTGAAGGCCGTATTTTGACCTAAAACTGTTAACTTTTTATACATTGTGACTTGGATGGAGAGTTGTCTCATTGGCACCCATACCACATTTTCTTATTTATATCTACGTAACGCAAATGGCTTTCAATTGTCTATATACACAACCTTTATACATTGTGCATGTATTTCTTACAAATTTAAAGTAAAACATATGATTGCAGTGGTTCAATTCAAGTACAGTAAACTCTTGTAATATTTTTCATTGGTTTTCACGCACAATGTAGGTCCATTTAGGGCAATCGAAATTTAAACATATTTTTTGCGGATACTTTATTTCGCGTGCGTTTCTCAGTTTTCATCCGACTTTGCGGCGATTTTTTTTTTTTTTTTTTTTTTTTTTTTGTTAAAGCGATTTTCTACATTTCTTGATGTATTTAAAGGATAAATCCAAGTTTTACATATTCGAGACGGTCTATATTCGAGATATTTTCGTTCTTGCGAAGTTCCGTAAAGTTGTTGGTTTACAGTGCATTATTTCGGTAGAAATTGTAGATATAACAATAAAACACACACACACACGTAAACAATATATTTATAGAAATTGGCGTTTAAAGAAAAGATAAATTTTCTTCACACAGCTATATTGGATTTCTTTTCTAAAATGTAGGTCGCAAAATGGTTTCATACATTTTATCGTCTAAATTGTCCTTTATATTCAATTATCAAGTGTATTTAAAAATAATGAACCAGTGGTATTAACATCCACACATCCCTTCAACATTGTCTCTAGCGTTATTTGGTTACATTATCTATAAACATGTAGTGAGTTATCAGACAATCCGACAATGGCACAACGTACAGATCAATCTAATGGAGGAAATTAAAATGATAATGGCGCAACGTACAGTTCAATTTAATGGAGTTATAATTATAATGACAATGGCGCAACGTACAGTTCAATCTAATGAAATTGGTAAAAATGACAATGGCGCAACGTACAGTTCAATCTAATGGAGTAAATTAAAATAACAATGGCGCAACGTACAGATCAATCTAATGAAGTTGGTTAAAATGACAATGGCGCAACGTACAGTTCAATCTAATGGAGTAAATTAAAATGACAATGGCGCAACGTACAGATCAATTTAATGAAGTTGGTTAAAATGACAATGGCGCAACGTAAAGATCATTCTAATGCAGATGGTTAAAATGACAATGGCGCAACGTACAGATCAATCTAATGAAGTTGGTTAAAATGACAATGGCGCAACGTACAGATCAATCTAATGAAGTTAGTTAAAATGACAATGGCGCAACGTACAGTTCAATCTAATGAAGTTGGTTAAAATGACAATGGCGCAACGTACAGATCAATCTAATGAAGTTAGTTAAAATGACAATGGCGCAACGTACAGTTCAATCTAATGAAGTTGGTTAAAATGACAATGGCGCAACGTACAGATCAATCTAATGAAGTTAGTTAAAATGACAATGGCGCAACGTACAGATCAATCTAATGAAGTTGGTTAAAATGACAATGGCGCAACGTACAGATCAATCTAATGAAGTTAGTTAAAATGACAATGGCGCAACGTACAGTTCAATCTAATGAAGTTGGTTAACAGGCGCGTAGCTACGTTTACGTCAAAAGGCCCGGCGTGCACTTGCATTTTGGAGAAACAAATATTTTAACCTTAATACATTAAAAAAACTGGTTAAAAGCACATGAGCTTTTAATTATTTCTTCGTTGGCTTGTAATTGAAGATAAAAAAGACGAAATTTACTTTCGAACAAAATGGTATCATATTATGTTCATTTTCTGTCAAAGTCTGAATCTACTATGAATTTTATTCACTTTTTTTTTTTTAATGCAATTCATTACCTGCTAAGATTCGATATGTGGTTTGCATTTTTTGTCGAGCCTGCGAGACATAGCGATCCTAGATTTCGTCGTCCTCATCGGCGGCGTCAACATTTAGGATCAGTATGTGGTTAAATAACATGACATAATGACATGAATGATGAAAACATATTTTTAGTTTCCCGTATTTTACTGATAAAAAAGATTCGTTTTTGCACTTAACACGTAGTCTGTGGTTAAAGTTTATTACACATCAATTACTTTGTCAAACCTTCATCAAATTTTATAAAACTTTGGCAGAAGCTTTTTTTATGATTTATGTCTGAAGCAAAATTTTTAACGTATCTTTTTCAATTTTTTAGTATTACACTGACAGACGGACTTACTTTTTTTGCAATTCACAGCCGGTCTTTGAATACATTTTTTTGACATGATAAATTCGTAAACTTTCATAGATTGTATTGAAACTTTGACAGAAGCTAATATTTAAGACCAAGAAAAAGTATCCGAAGTAAATGTTAGATTTTTCTTAAATCCTGTATTTGACTGATAAATGGATCCACGGAACGCTTAACGGATTTTCATATTACACCTGAACATCTATGAAAACTAGTTATTTCATGTGTCCATTTACGATCCGAAATTTACAAAAATACACAAATTAGACTCTAAAGGATGTTGTTATTGAAGAGTATTTAGTGACAGAATGGTATCCTATTCTCAATAACTCGTTAGCTTCTGCCATGTGGGCTTCGCATCCTCGAATCCACCACCAGGAGGTCCTATCCTCAATGCTATGTCCTGAACCCGTTTGGGCCCTCAGTTCGGGCGTACACGTAATAATGGCCTAGCTACGCCACTGGTTAAAATGACAATGGCGCAACGTACATTTCAATTTAATGAAGTTGGTTGAAATGACAATGGAGCAACGTACAGTTCAATTTAATGGAGTTAATTAAAATGACAATGGCGCAACGTACAGTGCAATTTAATGGAGTTTATTATCAAAGTACTGAAGTACTGAACATCGGATGACCTCAAGGGTTCATTCCTCCTATTCCCACTTTTTATAAATCTGGTAAGAAAAGTTAAAATTTCATGTGGGAATAGGGGAAAAACTTGTGCAAACAAAGGATTATACTGTATAAACATTATTTAATCAACTTTAAATTGACAAGTGTTTTTTTGATAGGTTATAGGTTATTTTTGTATGTGTTAAATTCTGTGTTTTTAATTCAAGTTAATATGAAAGAAATGGAAACAAATATAAGTAAATTTATTTTATTTCTTTTATAACACAAATTCAACAGTAGATTCAAGCAAGCATTATAATATGAAACACACAATACAAGTTTACAGCACTAAAACAAATCACACATTGTAGCACACACATTAGAAATTCACTGTATATAAGTCTATTAATGGTTAATAATCTATTCAACGCGAATAAGGTGGGAGGCTGCATCACCAAACTGTACTGTTGTAACTTCATAGTTGCAATATCTATCCATAAGCTCTTCTAATCTGTTGTTGATTTCGACATACTTTCGTTTTTGGGCCACTCTCTTCCCATCGGCTGCATACTGGATCATGGTCAGGGATTAGCTTCCTCATGTTTCAGTAGTTTTATGAGTTTAAAGATGTTTGGATGTGGGTGCTGGACATGTTTTATCAGCTTGCTTTGCCATCCCTCTAGATGATGTGTAGTCCTCAGTCCCTGTGTTGTGTAATGGTGATTAGTTAAGCTGATCAGTAAATATAGTCTAAAAATGTTTTGTTTAAATAAAAGAGTGTTATTATCCCGGTATGTCATAAAATATACTGAATTGAACTTCAAATTTAATCTAAATTCATATTAAACTGCTCTAAAATGCATAGTCAATTGAACTACAAAACAAAAACTTGAGACTACTATAACGTAGAGATTGGTCACTTCCCATGTTATAGTAGCCTCAGACAAAAACAAAGCTGACTTAAAAAAAGTATGTTCAGAAATTTCTTGAAGAATGGACAACAATGAGATATTTATTATTCTAATATCGGCAAAAATCTCATAGTATCAAATCAGAATTTAATCGCATTATTTACTTTAATAAAAACCTCATGATAATTTCTGAATTTACAGTCATGACTTAGCTTGTCAATCTCTGCGCTTAAAAGATTGAGTTTCCTAGGCCTAAATGTCATAAATGTGGTTGAAATACTGACAATTTTGCTAACTTTTACCAAAAATCTTCAATTAATTAAAAAACATCAATTATTTTTGAATTAATAGCCCAAAATATTAATCTGGAATCAGTACATACATTTGTTTTTCTTAAACATCTATACACTATTCATTAGTAGAGAATTCATTAGGGAACTTATAAATTTTGCACAAGACACTCATGGCAGTATACTTAGAAAAAAGGATGTTGAGGACTTGGCCACATCAAACAGCATTTTTAGACACATTATGGCCTATTGCAATCTGCCCTATTTGCTCCAACCTATAAGTAATAAAATTAATGCCTAGGGTGGGAATTAAACTCATGTATGTTCATATATACTCTTTTGTTCTCTTTGTACATACATGTATATGAAAAATATCAAATGCAAAAAAATGCTGTAATGTAAATATGGTAATTTACATCATTACAACCTCATTTTTTTTTAATAAGGACCTAGTAAAGGAAATCCCTGAACCTAGTTAGACCTATTTCTTAGGCAAGGTGTATTATATATGCGGATCCAGGGAGGGGGGAGGGGGGGCGGCCCCCTCCCTTTTGTGGGAAAAAATTGGTTGCTTATATAGGGGATCACTGAAGCATGACTGGAACGCGCCCCCCCTTTTTAGGTCAGTCAGCGGAACATCATTCTCAAAGATGCCGTAGAAAAAATTATAGGAGGGCGTAAACATTTTACATACGGGTACTTTTTGTGTCGACAGATTGACCTTTATCTGTCAGATTCAGGCGTTTGCCTTTCTGTGTATAATTTCCTGTATTGATCGCCTCTCCTGTTTCTTTCAAGCTCGCTCTTGATGAATGCGCATTCGTGGTATTCATCCGCAACATAAATTTTTCGGTACGTCATAGATATTAAAGATTGTTTGACTTATATATTAATATTTCTAACGACAAAACATTTTAATATTATTAATTTGTGTTTAAAAAATTTTTTTTTTTGGAGTATCCATTGAAAAAAAGGAATTTAAAACCAGCGATAAGGAATGTTATTTTGCACTAGATAATGTCCGCGGATCTATAATTTTTATAGATCGGTTGAAAACCCAAAACTAATTTGCATAATGGAAATTTAGGCGATAGCAATACACCGGATTGACCTCACGGCGCAACGTACATTTTAGTTTAATGGAGTTTATCAACATACCACTTAATTGCCTGATCGTTTTGAGTATTTTCGTAGTGTTTCAGGAACTAACTTTTTTCTTCAATTAAAAGTGTATTATTTTTTTCAAAATGTCTCAAGATGCATTATTGTGTTGATTAAATACTTTTATCGACTTTGAAATTCAAACTTTTAGGTTGCAAAGAACAGATTCAAAAACGGTGCCCATACAATCATGATGATAATATAATTTTGATTTATTTATAGTAACTTATAAACCATATGATACAATATCAATACGCAGGCACACTCGAGACCAGAGGATATTAAATATAAATAGAATATTGCAGCACCTCTTCACTGTAAATCATTGCAAATGGAAATGGGGAATGTGTCTAAGAGACAACAACCCGACCAAAGAGCAAAAAACCGCCTAAGGCCATCAATGGGTCTTTAACGCAGCGAGAAAATCCCGCAACCGAAGTCGGGCTTCAGTTGGCCCCTAAACAATTCAATAATGCATACTAGTTCAGCGAAATGGACGCCACACTAAACTCTGAAACAAATAAAGGAACCAAAATTAAAAAATCACACAAGACTAACAAAGGCTAGAGGATCCTGCATTTGGACAGGCGCAAATATGCGGCAGGGTTTGTGAGATCTCAACCCTCCCCTTTACCTCTAGCCAATTCAGTGTGGAATAAACAAACACACAGCAATACGCACAGTAAAGATCAGTTTAAAAGAAGTCCGAGTCGGATGTTAAAATAGGAAACAGAAGAAACTAAACAAAATGACAATGATTAACATATTAAATTAACAAAGGAGTACTAGCAGTTACCGACATGCCATCTAAAGACCTCAATAAATATAATATGCAAGTTTTAAAAAATGCTATATATGAAACTGTAATGTTTTCAATTACTTGATCTTTTCAGTTAGCAAAGTTAATAAATTCTGACATGTCTCGTTATGTGTTATATTTTCGTAATATTTTATTTATCTTCTTTCTATCAATAATTTAGATAAAGAAAATCACCCTTTAACTTTCAAGTAGAGGTTAACAAACAGAGACAGATAGAAAAGAATCTAACAAAACTAAATATCAATTTCAAATGATAAAATTGTTGAACGCTCGAATAAAATAAATGAAAGATGACAAACCGGTTTTTTGATGATTTTTGATAAAAGTTAATCATATGTAAATTACTATATGATACTATCATATGTATCTGTACATATGCATGAGTGATCTTTAGTTGGCAACAATTAGCCGGGAATCTGCATCGAGGATCACGTGATACATGTTTATAGAACACGTGATCTCTATTAGACTATTATCTTCACTCGCCAGAAGGTAGACATGCATAAATATTAACGAAATTTTCAATGTTTGCTTTTAACAGTATATTTGCGATGTTACATGTATTTTTAAATTTGTCGAAGTCAAAAATCGGTATTAGGAAAATAGTCGATTGTAAAACGCTATCTTCCCTAAGATAACAAATAATCCCTACAATAAAAATAAATCAACAGACAAATGAAAACAACAATTAAATTAAATTGTTACTATCAAAGTTAACTTGGTCAAAGTTTTCTTTGACCACGTAAACTTGGTCCAATACATCTGTTGTCACTATCAAAGTTTTTTTTTATCAAAAACTTGGTGAAAAGAAAAACTGCACTGTGCACGTGATTGGATAATTCCCGTCCAAGTCCATCCAAGTTTCAAGAAAAATAGAATGAGATTCTATTCCATCCAAGTCCGTCAAAGATTTTGATCAAAGTTTTCTTTGACGGTTGTCACTATCAAACTCCCCGGCAATTCCAGCTCCGATCCGCATAGTAAAGGAAAATAGTTCCGGAACGGAAACGATCACTGTACGGAGTTTGGATTGTCACTATCAAACAATCCATCAACAAACTTTGATAAAAACAGCGGGCCTTAAGATGAAAAAAAAATAAGACATACTTTTTATTTCTTAAATGAGGATTGATTGATTGATTGTTGTTTGCCTAACGTCAAGTGGCAAATATTTCATGCATGTTCAGAACTATAAACAACAAGAAATGATTGTAACAGGATGCTGTTACGAAGTCTCCCAAACGAAGCTCCCATAATTCGTAATTCCCATGGTCGCCTGACATTGAGCAAAGTCCAGTGAAAATTGGTTTGGTCCAGTAAAGTTATATGCATTAGTGATGCCTGGGGACTAACCCTGTATATCATTCAAATCATCTTGGCATGACAAACCAGAATATATATGGTTTAGTGGTGGGGATCTCGACCATTTACAAGATAGAACTTTCTCAAATGGCAGGGGGTGGGGATGACCCCTGGGGACTAACCCTGTATATCATTCAAACCATCTTAGCATGACAAACCAGAATATATATGGTTTAGGGGTGGGGATCTGGACCATTTACAAGATATTAGAACTTTCTCAAATGGCAGGGGGTCGGGATGACCCCTGGGGACTAACCCTGTATATCATTCAAACCATCTTAGCATGACAAACAAGAATATATATGGTTTAGGGGTGGGGATCTTGACCACTTACAAGATATTAGAACTTTCTTAAATGGCATAGGGTGGGAGTGACCCCTGGGGACTAACCCTGTATTTCATTTGATTTGCTTTATCATGACAAACAA